AATGATTGGAGTTCATTTATTATGATTTGAATATTTATGGAATATGAATAGAGTTTATTAATTATGATTAATACTTTATATTAGGAAACAATTAATTGATTAAAAATTGAATGGTTGAGATGATGGTTGTATAGGGTGTAGGAATGACAAAGGGTGTAGAATAACATCCCTATATATATATATATATATATATATCCATCTTAGTAACTTGTATGTAACAAATGATATTTCTCCATATTACCATATATTCAGTTGGCTTTTAGTAATTGTTATAACTTTCATGTAAAACATCATAGATATATTACTATATAGTATTGTTTCATATGTGAAACATTACATGTTCAAAACTGAAACATGTATAATTTAATACATAAGATAACATACTATACATTTATTACAACATATGAATATACCATTTGCAAACAATACATGTTCTTAAATGAAACATCTATAGTTTTCAGAGTCGTTCTTTAACATGTTAAATTTATGATTTTGGACAAGGCCATAAAAATGTGTTTGTAGCCATGCTTCATCCCATAACCCTAATTTCCACATCACAGCACATATCTCTAATTTATATTAGAAGACAAATAAACTATTGAACTCCCTTTTCAATCATCATCTTCTCCTCCTGATTCAGTGATTGAATTCACCAAAAACTAAAAGAAAATGCATACTTGGACTTTGGTAATGGATACTTCATGGCTTAGGGGTTGTTTACTTGCGGCTTAATTAGGCTTATTGGTCTATATGGCTTATTCGCACAACTCATTTGGGTTGTTTATTTACGGCTTATTCGCACAGAACATGGCTTAATCGCACATATAGAATTGGTGTGTTGTCACCATTCAGCCACAAAAATAATACTCCTACCCCTTATTTAAAGCGTCGCCTCCTTCCCATATGAGACACCTCATCTTCAACCTCTTTATGGTTTTGATGTTCAAATAATTAATATTGGGGGGAGGGGGTAAATCGGTCATTTATGTTATTCAGACTGTAGGTTCAGATAAAAAAAGTAAACAACAACACCTATTTATCCAGACAGACAAATTTATCTGAACAGACAAATTTATCCATACAGAACTTAATAAAAAATTTGGTAAACAACCCCTTAGTTTTAGGCGACTTCTACTTCGTTTATCTATTACATTGATTGTGCTTACATATTATGTGCTTGCACCTGCATAATAGGAGTATATGACTGCTAATTGCTCACACCCAATGATCTTATTTGAATAGATCATTTGACTCTCCTTGTGTATTGTTCGACTTTGTCGTGTTCAAGCTCCACGAATAGATTAGGGTAAATTCAATTTCTAATTTCCTATTATGCTATTCTCTCTAAATTTACCTGTTTCATTCTAAATTGTCATCAAACTGGTTTAGTCGAATCCATAATACTCATATACAAGGCCATATTGAGTTAGTATAGATTTATCTTCGACATTGAATTGATATAGATTAGTTTAAATTTATCTTCTTAGTTCTCGTGAGCAGAGGAATAACCTAGTGATGTACAACTTGCTTGCTGCTTTGTCCCTCGTCACCCTGAGGATTGCCCATTTTTATTAATTTCAGGGTTTCTCTGAATTTGAAAGTCGGGAATCCCCTAGAAATAGAAATGGGCTAGAGCTCCCACCCGTTTCTAAAGATTAAACGAAAGCGTTTGCTAATGCTTTGCACAAATCTAATGAATGTCTCCGCTCTTATTGCTGGGAGATACAAACTTTTGAATATAAATTTGGGCAACTCAAAAGTATAAATAAGTCTTTCAAGGACAGTAGCAATGGCATAAAGATCAAGATAAAGACGAATGAGCCAACTTGATATTTTGGTATTATCGCCTTGGTTTAATAGGGGTTGTTTGGTTCATGGAATTGGAATGACCAAGTCCTTTAACCAAATTCCAAATGCCATGTTTGGTTCACATAATAAAAGTGATGTAATCCCTTTCAGTTCTAATGAATTCCTCAACTTACAAATTTCACAATTCCACGGGACATCCCTCGGATTTCAACTCCTTTTCGACAAATTTCTTGCCCTAATCCAAGTTCATTCAACGCTCTTTTGTCTCGATTTTTGCAACTCGTGTCTACCATTTCCTCTAGTCGATCTCTTTGGTTCGATCTCCAATCTGGTTTGCTCTCTCTCTCTCTCTCTCTCTCTTGATTTCTCCATCTCTGACTTTCCCATCTCTACACCTATCGCTCTCTTGTTTTCTCCATCATATGTGCATTTCTCAATCTCCATATTTGATTATGACACGATTACAACCACAATGTCGCAAGTTGGGACATCAACTGAGTAGACTGCATTTCGAAATAATCTGGCACAACATATGTTTGAGGCTTGGAATGCTAGCATTAACCTCTATGATTTGTAATGCTAAAAGTTTATCTTTATGATCTGTAATGAATTTGATACCTATGTTGCACACCATTATGATTTGTAATGCTACAACTTGATTTTTATGATTCACATGTTTATGTTTACATGTTACTTATTTATTATTTAATTCGTTTAACAATAGATATGGCGGATCATAGTCGTAATAGAAACTATTGAAATTGGACAACTATTGAAGATGCCAAACTTGTGGAGGCTTTGGTTAACATGGTTAATACATGATGATTTAAACTGATAACAACTTTAAATGTGGATATTTACATTATCTCGAACAAGTGTTAAAACAATCAGTTCGATTTGTAATTGAGTAAACCGCACATTGAGTCAAGAATTAAAATAACGAAAAAGGACTGACAAGTTGTCCATGACATGGTGAATGAGAAAAATACGAGTGAGTTTGGTTATGATAGTATGAAACAATGTGTAATTGTCGAAACACCAGTTTGAGAGTCTTACCTGAAGACACCCATTTTTTTTCGTGCTATATTTGTCGTTATTATTTGATATCTTGCTAATTAATTTTTATAACATGAAATAGGTACATAAAAAGACACGGAAATGAAAAAAACAAGACATTCCCACATATTTATTTAGTATTTAATTCATTTAATAATATATAATACTTGATTAATAAAATAAAAAAAACAAACGAATTAAAATTGATAGATTTGAAGGTTTTCACATATTTATAATTTTATTAAATATATTGATTTATAATTTTTAAAAAATAAACCTTCAATAAAAATGATTTAAATAAATGTCTTGTCATTTTGGGATTAATGGGCCTTACAACTTGTGTTGTAATCAAACAGTTGGGTTTAGATTTGGGCTTAATAGAAGCCCAATATAAATGAACGATTTAGGTCTAGGAGGGACTCCTTTTAGTACTCCTGCTTATCGTCTTCCCCAAATTCGCCGCGTTTTCCATCTCTGCAGCCGAAGCACTTTGCCTCTAACTCAGGTACTCTTCAACGATTCTTTACTTAACGCTTTCAGATGTTTGCTTTGTGAAATCATCGTGCATTATGAATACATGAATTAGACTTTATGGATTTCAGACGCGTTTGTAGTAGTGTTTTGTGCTATATCTTTGTGAACTCTGAAGGTTTAGATCTCATTTGTAGAAGATTTCTTTGAGGATGTGTATTAGCATGTTACGAATTTGGTGTTCGTCTCTTATTTGGTATAAACTGGAAGGATTTTTGTTTATTTGTTGCATATAGGAAGTTTGTTCAGGGATGGAAATGGATTTATTGCCTTGATGCTGTTTTGTTTGCTTAACTTCTACTGTTTCTTCACAATCAAATCAACAGACGCTGGTTTACTTTTTTTAGTTTTTGTGTTATCTGATGTATCAACATGTGGTTTGGGCTCTTTTTTTTTTGTCGTATTTACAAAAGTTTAGATTTGTTACTTGGTAGGTTTTTCTACAATTAAATTTGTCGTATCATCCTGTATATCGAGTGTATTTATAAATTGTAAACAGTGATGAATACCGTCAGATGATTCATTTGTGCGAATTCAAGTTTGGTAGTCCCTTGGTCAAAAAAATTATAATCATTAATGTATTGCAAAGTGATTGAACTAATAAATTTACTTTGATGCCATCAAAATTGCAAGGTTTTTTAATTCAAATGGAGGGTGAAACTGTGAAAATGTCTTGGAAGAATTAGAAGCCAGAATTATTTACTAATTGTCACTGAAAGATGGTACTTATTTTGTTTGACACATGGCTGTTGAACATGGAGTATTTAATGGAGAGGAAGGATAAAACCCTAGACCTAAACGAACGCTCCAATTCATTTATTGTGGCTTTTCTTGTTGAATAAGCCCAAGCACGTGTATATAACATGTTGTCTTCATATATCCTCTGTTTCTAAAGGACTGTAAGACAAATTGTTGTGATTTGTGAATATATGTTTAAATATATATTTTTATCAATGTGTATACTTTTGTACTAAATATGTGTAAACTTTGAAGCCCTCAGATCTCTTATTTTGTGGAAATAGGTAGGTTGTTACATATTTGCTCCTTAAGAAAAAGTAAAATTTTAGTGAGGGAGATGAATATATTGCATAAATGGGGCTGTGGCTACTTTTTTGGTGTCATATTTGCAGAAGTTATGATTTTCTTGCTATGTTTCTCTACGATTAATCTGTTGATAATCAAGTAGTAGCATCCTATACATTGGGTGTATTATCAAATTCCTAAACTGTGAAACATATCTTTGGATAATTCCGATTAACAATGCTCTAATTATTGTTGTTTTTATTTCCACTGGGATTGACATTCAAGATAGTTTCTGAAAGGACCAGCATTGGGTCAACAGTACTTAAAAATGTGATTGCTTTTTGCAGAGAAACAATGGTTAAGCATAACAATGTTATTCCAAATGGCCATTTCAAGAAGCATTGGCAGAACTATGTGAAAACATGGTTTAACCAACCTGCCCGCAAAACAAGGAGAAGAAATGGTTCGTTGTGAAAAATTACGATTAATCGTAGCACATTGTGCTAATATTTGATGGTTTTTCTAAAAGACTTGGTTTTGCATCTAAATTTACATCGGAGTTACTGTTTGGTTTAATTTTCAGCTAGACAGGCAAAGGCTGTTAAAGATTTCCCAAGGCCTGCTGGAAAGCTTCGTCCTCAGGTTCATGGACAAACCTTGAAATACAACATGAAACTTAGGGAGGGCAGAGGATTTTCTCTTGAAGAGCTTAAGGTAAGATTGCTTATAACTGTATATGTAATTAAGGAAGTACATTTGAAGAGTGACACGCTTTGAGTTTGATCTCACATAATTATGCCACTCTCTCTAACGTTGGTTTCTGATTATTAGAAAAAGAACCAGTTAAAAATTGAACCAAACATCGTTGCTATACTGGACATATTATGTAGTTCAATTTTTAGGTTTTTTGTAATGCTTCTTCAATTCTTTTGAGTTACAAGGTTAAAACACTAGTAGTTGTATATTTGAGTGACTGGTTGAACTTTTTAGTATAAACTCTGATTGTTCTTTACGGTACCAAAAACAAAAAATAAATAAAATAGAAGCTTAATCTGTGTACTCATTCTGTATCTATGTGAGCTTATTCATTACAGTGTACCAATGTTAGTTCATTTAGACATTCATATTAAACTTGTTATGTTATATGCTTAAAAATTGTAATTCTAATTTATGTTAGCTGTGACATCTTAAATTCAGTTTCTCTAATATTGACATGAACTATCCTTTTTATTTCAGTTGGTTGACATATGGTTTGATTTTACAAATTCACGTTGTCTGTTTTATGATCAGGGTGCCGGTATTCCAAAGAAACTTGCTCCAACCATTGGCATTGCTGTTGACCATCGTCGCAGGAACCGTTCACTGGAGGGTCTGCAAGCCAATGTCCAGAGGCTAAAAACATTCAAAGCCAAGTTGGTTATCTTCCCAAGACGTGCAAGGAAAATGAAGGTAACACAACTGTTTTTATTTAATCGCTACATAATTTGCTTAATCTCGTTACCGATTAATTACAACAGACCATCGATTTGAAGACCCCTTCATGAAATCTGTTCGTAATGGTCTTCATCTGGATAGTGATTAAGGCAGAACATGAACATGAACATGATTACGTTTTTGTTGAACCAGGCTGGTGACTCGACCCCAGAGGAGCTTGCAAGTGCCACCCAGGTTCAAGGACCAGTGTTGCCAATTGTTAGGGAGAAGCTAGCACCCGAATTCGTGAAGGTTACAGATGAGATGAAATCATTTGGTGCTTATGCGAAACTTCGTGTTGAGAGGACCAACAAACGTCATTTGGGTGCTCGACTCAAGAGGGCTGCTGAGGCAGAGAAGGAAGAGAAGAAGTAAGAGGTTTGATTAAAGCAGTTTTGGATATGGTTTTGTTTGAAACTTCATATTTTAGTTATTGTAACTGGGAATGGGATGATGATGTTATTTCCAGTTTGTTACATGTTCATCAACTGAACCAAGCCTTTATCTTTTACCCATTTGCTTCTCAAATCCAACTGAACCATGCTATTATCTGTTTTTTCCCCTTATTTTTTGGCTTTACATTTTTGGTTGGTAGTAACAAATATACCTGGTAAATTTAAGTCGACATGTTTTTCGTTGAATAATTGTGCTCGATGGTTTTAGTTTAAAACGATGATAGTGAGTGGGTGTTACTAAATCGTAACGGCTGTTATCTCCAACATATGGAAGACGTTTTTGAATAGCTAAATTCATCTCGTGCATCTAACTAGCACTCCACTCTACACGGTGTCACTTAGTACCATTTCTGACCTGATGCACATGCCAATAAAAAAATGGTTAGACTTGATGCCTAGCAAGTTTTAATCATTTATATAAAACGGTAAAATAGTAAGAATGTTATTTAAATTACAGTTTTTAAAATGAAATGATTAAATATCAAAATAACATCTTTCCTTGAACCACCATTTTCGTTATGAAAACTTATAAATTAAAATACTCATTTAACACGAAAGTAAAACCTAATACTCACCCAAAACGTGAATAAAGTTAAACATCCAAATATTAAAAAAATGGATAAAACTCTATTATTCAAAACAACAAAAAATATGGACAATGTTCCATTCTCCAACACCATAAAGTAGGAATACACGCCATACCCAAAACAACATCGGAATTATAGATAATATACTATCCAGAAATAACACCTTTCGGTGACGGAAGGGATCTATTTCATCAAGTGGCGAAACATCAACTAAGCCACATCAAGATGTTGACGAGTAATTCACCCCCAACATGCGAACCTTGGTGATTACTCTACCTGAGGCTAAGATAAAAATATTAAAACTCTTTACTTAGTGAGTCCCCGAGTTACAATACCTTCCATTTCCATTAACTAATGGTTAGACAAAATGTACAAACATACAATTGGCTTCTGGACAGACACTAACAATTGCCACATACAAAATCAGGCGATATAAATGTTGAACTTTGCATATTTTATTGGTATAACTGACCTCATGTATTAATGAAATCTATAGAAAAATTATCTATCAGAATAATGCTCTTACAGATCTATTAATAACAAGTATAATTACGCCAGAAGAATTAATAATATCTCAGGAAAAATTGTTACAATAAGCTGTGAATGCACTTCTTGGTAATAGAATCTGTAGACAACCAATGAGGGATGACCATAATAGAATTTACATGTCGCTTTCAAATGTAACTGAAGGCAAAGAAGGAAGAGTTTTAAAATCTGCCTCAAGCAAAATAGGGCAACCGGGATTTTTTTTTTAAAATCTGCCTCCACATGGGTTAAAGGTAACGAAGCTATATTATTACTTAGTAGATACCGGATACACAAATAGTGAGGGTTTCGTTGTCCCATATAGAGGTCAAAGATATCACTTAAGTAATTGGCAGGATAGATACCAACCAACGACACCAAAAGAATTTTTTAAAATGAGACATTCCTCTGCAAGAAATGTCATAGAACGATGTTTAGGCATTTTGAATACATGATGGGGAATTTTAGAAGATAACTCGTAGTATCACGCTGAACTGAAAAACAAGATCATAATGGCATGTTGTCTACTTCATAACCATATCAGGCGAGAAATGCCAAATGATTCGTTTGAGAATGATGGGTTGGACGAAACAACCGCAGACGATGGAGACCAAGACGTGGATAACATCAGTTCTGTTGGGACATCAACTTAGTGGACTGGATTTAGAAATAATTTGGCACAACATATGTTTGAGGTTTGGAATGCTATGCATTGACCTTTATGATTTGTAATGCTAGAAGTTTATCTTTATGGTCTATAACGAATTTGATACCTATGTTGCATATACCATTATGATTTGTAATGTTACAACTTGATTTTTATGATTAACATGTTTATGTTTGGGTTTCTATTGTCAACACTTGGAAAAATGTGGAAGTTGCAGGTCAGAATGTCATCCTTTCGTTTACAAAAAAGGTTGCTAAAGATTCTTCTTCTCTTTTTTGGAAAGATGCGAGCATCGGACAAGGCTCAAAGTTGAAAGACCTTTTCCCTAGACTTTATGCCTTGGAAAGGAATAAAAATGCTTCTTTCAAAGACAGATGGACTTATATTAATGGTTCTTGGAGTGGTGCTTGGGATTGGAAAACAATGATTAGGGGTAGAAGCTTAGATGATCTTCAAGCCCTAGAAAGGCAACTCTCTCTCTTGTGGATTTCAATACTTCGGGTGAGGATATTTGGTTGTGGAATTGGAACAAGAACGAGATTTTTTCGGTCAACTTCTTGTCCAAATTAATTCAAGGGGCGGTTGAGACAAATGTTGGAAGCAATGATCCGTTTTTTTGGAGTCCTTTAATTCCAAAGAAGGTAAACATCTTCACTTGGCGCTTCCTTAAAGAGGCTATTCCGGTAAGATTCAATCTTTCAAAAAGAGAAATTCCGTTACAATCTTTGGAGTGCATCTTTTGCGGCAAAGGTGTTGAAACTTTGGACCATTGTTTCTTCTCTTGTTCGGTGGCAAGCATTCTTTGGAGGAAAATATGGGCTTGGTGGGATCTTAAAGCCCCGTGGCTTTCCTCGGTGTCTGATTTTACAATGTTGATCAAACAAGTAGGTACTCATCGTAAGGTTGGAGTGATTTTCTTATCAGTGTGCGCCGTGGCGCTTTGGCAACTTTGGAAGCGGCAGAATGAAATTTTTCATGCTAAGGATGGTGCGGAAGCTACGAAGAGAGGTGAAGACCCATTCCCAGATGTTCAAAATTTTTCCAAGCTTTGGAGGGGAACAAGAATCGTAAGTTCCATCTTAATTGGGATAGTTGGTCTTCTTCTCCTTACCTTGTTTAGTCTCTTTGCTTGTCTTAGGCTTGGGTTTTGCCTTGGCTTTAGTTTGGGGATGTCTCTTTTTGCTTCTTTTTGTTTTCGTTTGTTATTGTGGATTCTTGTTTCCTCTTGTGTCTAGCTTCTTGCTGGATCGTTTTGTTTAATATTATTGGTTGGCTTGGTGAGGGTGATGGCCATGCCGAAACTCTCCTCCTTGTCCTCCATTTTTTGCCTTTAAAAAAAAAACATGTTTATGTTTACATGTTATTTATTTATTATTTAATTCGTTTAGCAATAGGTATGGCGGATCGAAGTCGTAATAGAAACTATCGAAATTGGACAACTATTGAACATGCCAAACTTGTGGAGGCTTTGGTTAACATGGTTAATACCGGAGGATTTAAAGCTGATAACGATTTTAAATGTGGATATTTACAATATATCGAACAAGTGTTAAAAGAATCAGTTTCTGATTCTGGTATATTGGGTAAACCGCACATTGAGTCAAAAATTAAAATAATGAAAAAGGACTGACAAGTTGTCCATGACATGGTGAATGGGAAAAATACGAGTGAGTTTGATTATGATAGTTTAAAACAATATGTACATAATCCTACAAATATGCAAGAATCAGAGGACAAAGAAAGTAGCCATAATGTACATAATCCTACAAATATGCAAACTGAAGAAGGTTCAAATCGAGGTAGTAAAAAGAGGAAAACTCGAGTTGAGACTCTTGTTGACGAAATGCAAAGTACAGCTCTCTTACGTGCAGAGAAATTTGAAAATGCATCGAAGAATATGGTAGACATGGAGATGGATATACAAGACAAGACTTCCATGGTAAATTCTGAACTTGCAAAAGTGCAATCACTTTCTAGAGTGGAAAAGTTCATAACAATCGAGAAGATAACAAATAAGTCTGATAACGTGTTAATTTCTTGGAGTTTGGAAGAAAAAAGAGCGAGAGAAGTGAGTGAGGTTTGTGCTGGAAGGTTGATTTTGGTTATGATTTGAAAGCTCTAATTTAGGTTTTGGAAGTAAGGTATATAGTTAACAATTTCAGATGTTATCGGATGTTAGTAATGTAATTTGGTTTATGGTTATTTAGTTTGCACAATTTTATGTAATAAATGATATTTAATTTAACATATTGAATGGTAATTTTAATTTAAAAAAAAAATGACAAGAAAAATCATAATAGATCATTTGTTGATATTTAATTCCAATTCCAAAGTTGAATTCCATGAACCAAACAAAAAGATTTCAATTTCTTTAAGAATTCCATTCCAATTCCATCCAATCAAACGCAACCAAAATGGATGGTCAAATTCCATTCCAATTCTCATAAAGTCAAATTCCTTTGATGAATTCTAATTCCATAGGATTTCATTCTGCGAACCAAACACCCCTTAAGAGCAAATGCAATCCAAAATCCAAATGAAAATCCGAACTTTAGAAGTCGATTAAATTCGATCAAACTTGCAAAGAAAAGTCAATGGACTAATTTTACTATTTACTTATAGTCAAGGAACCATTTGTAGTTTACTCCTTTATTTGTTTTAAAAGTTTGTGTTCTTGAAGGTATGTCTCCAACACTCACTCGTACGACAATGGCGGCCATCTCCTTCTCTACTCCATCGTCTTATCATCCCTCCTCCTCCTCCTCCTCTAACCTCCACCAATTTCAACCAGCAAAACCACCTCAATCCCTCCTTCTCCGCCGTGCACCACCTCCGGAGCAATGCATCAAATGCTCAATCACTCCCTCACCTCTAGCCCTAGGATCGGACTTTGAGCACAGCCTCAAAATTTTAGCTTCTTCGCCTCAATCACCGGCGACGGCGATGAGAGGGGCCGAAACGGACGCCATGGGTTTGTTGTTGAGGGAAAGGATTGTGTTCTTAGGCAGCAGCCAGATCGATGATTTTGTTGCTGACGCCATTGTTAGTCAGTTGCTTTTGCTGGATGCTCAGGACCCCACAAAAGATATCAGACTCTTTATGAATTCTACCGGTGGTTCTCTCAGGTACTTGCTCCACCAAGGTTTCATATTTGATTTGATTTTATCTTCTCTGCGAAATGATTAAGGATTCGAGATGATTAAGAGGGCTCTCATCATATAGTGCAAAATGCAATATAATTGTTTGGTAATTGTTCATAATGAAATTAGTGCAAAATACAATATAATTGTTTGGTAATTGTTTATAATGAAATTAGGGCGCGGAATGGTTAAGGAGGCCTAGGATAGAAAATAATTCAGAGGGTTTTAGAACCATTAAGAGATAGTTTTTTTTTTTCCTGAGGGTTTTAGAATCATTAAGAGGGTTTTAGAACCATTAAGATGTACCTTTTAACGATTCAGATGCTGCCTCTTAATGTACCTTTTAACGATTCAGATGCTGCCTCTTAATGGGACTATTAAGAGGTAAACAAACAACCCCTAAAGCTTGTTTAGTAGTTATTACTTATACGTGATTGGTTGCAGGAATTCCTTTTTCCTTCTAAGGATTGGAGTATCATACTCTTTGTAAATAGAACTTAACTTTCTTTAGAGGAAATATTTCTTAGATCTCTTATCGAATGTGGTCAATAGGGTGCAAACTGGTGCATTTACATATGATCCACCAGTTTGCACCCTGTATGCCACATTCAAAAAATTAACTTCATTTTTCTAGTCACCCGCTATTTTAGACTCCTCTATGTATCAATCGTCATAGGGTGATTATCCGTCAAGGAAGAGAGGTCAACGTACATCTTACCCCTCCTCCGCCAAGCGACCCTGCCTCTGGGCTCGTCTGATTTGTTTGCATAATAAAGAAGTCTTCCATTACTATTTTTTGTTCGATTCATCTGATGCAAATCTGCTGTATTTCGTCAACAGCGCTTCAATGGCCATTTATGATGTTCTGAAGCTTGTACGGGCTGATGTTTCGACCATTGCTCTGGGCATTTCAGCGTCAACGGCATCAATAATCCTCGGTGGTGGAACTAAAGGTAAGCGATTTGCAATGCCTAATACACGTATTATGATACACCAACCGCTAGGAGGTGCTAGTGGTCAGGCCATAGATGTTGAAATCCAGGCCCAAGAAATGATGCATAACAAGGAAAACGTTACCAGAATTATAGCCGAATCCACTGGTCGATCTTTTGAACAAGTTCAGAAAGATATCGACAGGGATCGCTATATGTCTCCTATTGAAGCAGTCGAATATGGCATAATTGATGGTGTTATTGATGAAGATAGCATCATCCCACTTATGCCCGTCCCAGATCGGGTCAAACCTACCCTGAGTTATGACGCAATTAGCAAAAACCCCGAGAAATTCTTGAATCCTGATATACCCGACGATGAAGTTTACTAGATGGTCACGTAATGCTGGAAACGTTTTATGATATATACCAGTTACTGGTCGGTATTCATTAGTCGTGACAGTTAAGTTGATGAAGCTGATTGATTATCCTACTTGAGACTGTATTATCTTTTACTTAATGAAATCAAGATGACATTGAGACCGCGTTTGTCGAGTGTAGGTTTGATCTTCTTGTAAATGTGTTTGAACCCATGTTTTTAGCTATCTATCGAGTCGATCCTCGCTCCATGGGATTCATATCTTGAATGTTTCGATACGCCTCATTCGTCACTCAGACTGGACTGAACTGTACAGGACAGACGAGAGTGAGATAGTTGGGGTGAAAGAAAGTGTGAAAGGTTTTAGGGTTTTGATTTGACATGGGTAATTTAGTAATTTACCAACTTTGTCTCATCCCCATATTTTTGTTCCTCCTAATTTGGTGGCGGGTTTTTGTATTATCTCGTCCTAGTCTAATGTCGCGCCAAACATGTGACAACAAGTATTTTTATTGTCATGTCCGGTCCTATCCTATCTCTGCATACCATACACACCTGTTAAGGACTACACGATGCGGCAAAATTGTAGCATCGAATCATGCTACCAAAAGCTAGCCAACCTTGAGTTTTTTTTTTTTTTTTTAACCTGGATATCCAACCCGCTATGCGAGCCGACTAATCCCAGGGCGACCACCTGCTTTGCAGGTAGCCCGGAGTCACCGCATTTGATCCTCCGTGGCCACAAGGGGATTTTTGTTCCTCGGATTTGAACCTGAGACCTCCTGACACTTTTGACCTTTTGAGCCAAGCCAACCTTAAGTTTCATCTTCACTTAACCCGAGTATGTTTAACTTGACTCGTATTTCAAGCGGATTCAGCTTCAGATATTGTTGAAAGGCTAGTTATTTCAGGTTAACCTCGTCCAAGAAAACCCAAAGACAAACAAATCATAAGTCATGACCAAATTCATGTTAAAAAGTACAAGAAATCGTATAAAACCAAGCAATATGAAATAAATTAGGGTTTATGATTTAGGGTTTAGGGTTAAGGGTTAACCGGTGACGGAAAAAGAGAAATCTTCATCGGTCATGGCTCTTGAAGAATAAGCTCCGTCACTTGTACAAGATGAGTAATCTTCGTCACTACCTCTCTCCTTCAACTCCCCGATCTTCTCTACAGCGGCCTTCAAATCCCACCTCCTCTCGATATTCCATTCGCAACAACACATCCCGATCTTCAAAAGCTTCAACATCTCTCCCTCACTGTTCTTTGTGCCTTTCATTTCTTTATCAAACACTTCGCCGGTCCACTCTTCTCGAACCACTGAGTTCACCCATGTCTCCAAATCGGAGCTGCCGCCTTTCCCTTGTTTTAGATAGTTCGCAGGAAACTTCCCCGTAAGTATCTCTAGGATGAGGATGCCAAGGCACCAAACGTCGGTTTTGGTCGTCGTGCTATCATGGTATGTGAACTCCGGAGACTTGTAGGCGACCATGAACTTTTGAGCATGCCGCTTGTTGACTAGCGGAATCAACCCGTAATCTGCCAAAAGGGGAATGAAGGCATCGTTGAGAAGCACGTTGGACGATTTCAAATGACCATGCGGTAACACCAGGTGAGGTAGCTCCTTGTAGAGATAGTCGAGCCCTTGCGCTACGCCCTTGATTATGCTTAGCCGAGTTCGCCAGTCCAACCCTGGCTCGTTCGGTTTCCGCTTACCTATAAGTCGTCAAAACACGAGAAACAGTTCAATACAAACTACTGACAATGAAACACGACCTCAAATTATAAAATACTCCATCCACTTCAAAATCAGTGCCTACATTTCTATTTTAGTTTGTCCCAAAAGAAGTGTCCACTTTCAAAAGTAGGTGGCTACTTTTCAATTTTATCCTTAATTATGATATGGTGATATTTATTACTCCCTCTGTTATGATGGGTAAAGTTGTCATTCAATTAATTGAAAAGTGTAAAAATTAACATATTTTAAACTGTATTTTTCATTATAGACGCTTATTTTGGGGAGGAGAGAATACGTAAGTATACGATTATTTGAACCCTAAACCGAACCATAACCCGAACCATCTAACCAACATACCATGAAGGTGACTAGCCAAGCTGCCATTTTGTGCAAAGTCTGTGATCAACAGCTTCTCATCTTTCTTGTGGTAGAAGGCCACAAGGGGAAGCAAATTAGGGTGTGAGAAGCTTCCAAGTCTATTCGCATGTGAATAAAACTCTTCCTTTTTCACATTACTCATCTCCCTAAACCTCTTGACCACCACCGCCGGACCATTCGCCAACGTTGCCTTGTACGAGGATCCAAAACTTCCGCCGCCCAAAACTTCCGCCGACGCTCGTAGAAGGTCGTGCAACTTGAACTCTGTTATGTCGTTCCTCACGAATTGAAGCTTCCCTCCGTTTGGGGTTCGTTTGTAGCTCTCTTCTTCATAGCTGGGCATCTCGATGTCTTTTGTGTTGGTTTTATAATCGTTGTTCTTGTCGAGCTTCGTCGTTTGTTGGTATTTGTATCCGTTTTTGGCTGTTGTTCGGGCCCGAAAGATGAGTGGAGAGATGACGAAGACCACTAGAGTTGCAATTGTGGCGATGGCTATGATGAGCGTTTTTTGAGGGGTTTTCTTCTTGGAGATCTTGCAGGGGTTGGTAACCGGTGAACCGCATACGTTGTTACCTGCATGGTCAAATAAGACCAATTAAAACTAGAGACTCATGAATTTAATTAAGATCTCATTTAAAGTTATAGACCTAAATATCTCATTTGAAACTAACAAGAATGAGGGGCCGTGCACCGAGCACTTACCAACAAGAGTGGGGTAACGTTCATGGCCATCTAAATGGATTAATGGTAAGCGTTTATAAACCGGTAAACATTTACTAGGTAAGAGTCATCACTCACTTAGCAGGTAAGACTCTTGGTAATTGTCTTCTCTCTTATTGGGTAAGATTCTCGGTCCTTATTATATTCACCTGGTAAAGTAATTGAACTGATAAGCGCTTACGAAGGTAAGTGTTTAGTAAACGACTTCTGAGATTATGCAACCATCACATATGGTCATTGGCTCAGTGGTACCCGTGTTATTTGTAAAACCCAACCTACTTGGAGGTCAAATGTTCAAACTTCACTTGGCCAAAGTAGTTACCATATATATATATAAAGTTGAGGTCCGGTGAGAAGAAGAGTTAAGGTGAGAAGAGATCTCCTCCCTTGGATGCACATTAGGATGAGATGCAACAGATCAATTCCCGTATCAAGAGCGATTCAAGGGTGAATTTGAAATTAAAGATGATCAAAATTCCAGATCTCTTCTTACGTTTCTCACCTTAAGTCACCTTTCTCATACGATCCTTCATCTATATATACACACATACACTATATACAGGTAAAAATTGAGCTGAGTCGAAACACTGGTGTTATAAAGCCCGAATTACTAAGTTAAACGGGTTCTATTTTATGTTTAATATCCTCTTAAGATCGAGAATTACCAAGTCCAAACTCGAATAAGCCGTTAAAAGTTCACCTTATTCCATTGGAACCAATTGCCGGCTAATTGGCTTATCGATTAAGAATCAAAATCAACAAATAAACAATAAAAACCAATGATTTTGGACCTAATTCAGATCCTATTTTTTTTATACATGATTGATGGAAAAAAAGTTTGACGTGTAGAATGAAGAACGTGCTTTCCACTTTTCAGACCCTTTATTTCAGTCTGTGTTAGATCCAAATTATTCTACTTTTTCATGAGAAACTTTAAATAAAATATGTTGTATGTATTTTATAAGAGTAGCTTCGTAACTAATTAATCAATATTAAAAGAGTCTCTTTGGCAATTGTTGAATGGTTTGGTACAGAATGATTAAAAGACTATTATGATATAGTGCAAAATGAAATATAATGACTTTTTTTTTTGCCAAATAAGATTCATCTCTTAACGATTCAGATGTTGACTCTTAATGGAACTATTAAGATGTAAACAAACAACCTCTTAAATTGCGTTTTTAATGCATAACACTTTTAAGTACTTATCAGTTCAATTTACCTTACCATGTGAAATTAACAAGGACTGAAAATCTTGCTCGGTAAGTGAGGGTGATGACTATTACCAGGTAAGTGCTTACCGGGTTATAAACACTTACCATCAATACTTGTTTATATTATTATTTTATATATATATATATATATATATATATATATATTTTTTTATAATGTATTAGGATGATATTTATTAAATATTTTAATAATATAATTAATTTTGAAATCTCGAATCTTTTAGTATGTAAAATATTCTAATAATAGAAGAAAACGGGCTCGTACCTGCGAATGAGCTCGGATCCTGGTTTCTGAGTCCCGGAGGTATCGGACCGTAAAGTCTGTTATTCGCAAAATTCACTTTCAAGTTTTTTTGCTCAAAATCCGGTATCTCACCTTCAAATTCATTATCTTGCATCTGCAAATCAACAAGAATCTTCATTTCGCTAAGTGATCTCGGAATCCGACCCGTAAATTTGTTGTTTTGGAGCTCGACTTTCCTCATTGAACTCATTCCCGCAAACGCGTCGTCCCTAATCACCCCCGAGAAGTTATTATTCGATAAGAAAATGCTCCGTAACAGCCTGATTTTCTGCACGTCAGGCATTGGGCCCTCAAAACTATTGTTTATGAAGCTTAGCGTTCGAATTCCCGGTAATTCCGCCAACATGTCCATGTCGATCGTCCCTGATAACGCCATGTTCTCGAGCCGTAACCCGAACACGCTCCCATCTTTCCCGCAGATAACACCCCTCCAGTTTTCTTTATCCCCGTTGCACGGTGCAGCGCTTGTGATCCAGTTGCTTAACGCTTCGGCTTTCAAAAGCGACCGTTTGAATGTCACGAGCTTCTCACTTTCTGTGCTGTCAGAAAACACGGTTGTGACCACTAGTAATACATGAATTACAAGCAGGGTGTGTGAAAACGGCCCGTTTCTTGAACCCATATCGGCTTACTGACTGACACAGCAGCCGGTGAGCCGGTTTACGTGGTTGCGATCTGGCGGCCGAGCGGCGGTACACGGTGGAGATAGAAGAAGAAATGGAAATGGAAAGCTGGAGGCTGAAATATTGAGGGAAGTGGCGATGATGACAGTTTAAGATGGTGAAATTGACGATGTCTGATTAGCTGTTGATCGAAGAAGGCCGGCTGAGAGTTTGATTCGATTCCAAGTGTCAAGGGGTAATCGTTGTTCAATTACTAATTAAAAAAAAGAAAAAAACAAACAAAATTCGAGATGTCGTTTTCGAAATATTATGTCGTTATGCCTGGAGGTCCCAGGTTCAAATCCAAGAAGGAACAAAAATCCCCTTGTGGCTACGAAGGTTCAAATGCGGTGACTCCGGGCTACCTGGTCGCTCTGGGATTAATCGACTCGCATAGCGAGTTGGATATCCAGGTTAATAAAAAAAATTAGGTCGTTATGTGATCATATCGTCTTGTTTTGATTTCATCTTGTTCGATGTTGTGCGATGAAACAACTCGTTTTTTGTTTCGTATGTATAACATCGCGATCAGGGTTCTTGTTGAATTAGTTGCTGGTGTTATAAAAACATTTACGATAGAGCTTTTTGAAGAGCTTATTGACCACCAGATCTTATATTTTACATGAGATTTATGTGAGTAATAAAAAAAATGCATTATCTTCTAATTTGACACATTTTTCCCGAGTTGAGATTGATCAAAAATATTATCTACGAGAACTTATTAAATAATCAAGTATTAATGAAGTTTTGACTGTACAACATGTTTTTTTTGAAGTATATAATATTTATATACGGCAAATGCAAAACACATCCTTCTCATTTTTGGTAAGGTTTAAAATCCTAACCTCCTAAAAGACCAAAGGCGACGATAACCCTGGCTCTACAACATGTTGGTAGAGCCATGAGACCTATGAATTGGAAACACTTTTTTTTAGAGGAAAGATATTTAAGTTATAATTTTATATGAAGATTTCAAACAACTTAATATCAATTATAAAAATCAGAAGGAGGTGATTCTACTTACTAATCAGAGACGTTCCAATCTTTTTGGAGGCCCTGTTACATTTAAAACTTTTGATTACATTGCATAAATGAGATAACAGATAATTTATGTTACGAACTAAAATGGACTAAACCTAAAACGATTAACAATTTGAAACTAAACCTAAACCATTAATGATTTGAATCTAAAACCAAACAATTAATGGGTTGAGCCTAAATAATTTCGGCCATAGTTCTACACATGTCGATAAAAAGACCTTCAACACATGTAAATTTTGGGGGGCGTGTTCAAAATCTCATATTTAACATGCTAAAGGACGGTCCTGCTACTAACCGTTTAACAGTCATGAGTTGGTTCAGGCGGTTGGGTTCATGTGAGACCAATGGTTTTTCATAAGCCCCGTAAGACCAATTTATGTTCATCGATTAACTTTATAAGCTAATGATCTAATGATATAAAGTTGCACGGTGACAGTTTTGTGATTATTGAGAAGTCTCGTGGTAATTTTATGATATGAATGTTCAAATTGTAGATCTAATACAAGAGTTAAGAATTGGTTTTACGAATCTCACAAAAAACCCTTGATCTGACATGATCCTAATCTTAATATCTTTACCATATTAAATTCTTAAAACAATAAAAAAATAAGGAAATTTGTGAGGAGAATTCTTGCTCACCACTATGCCACGTCACACTTGGAGGTTATTTTCATTATAATATAAAACATCAAAAGTTGCTGGAAAAAATACGGTGGAAATAAGCTAATTATATATTTTTGAGAAAGTGTTCTATAAAATCAATTTTTTATAGGACATTTGTTTTTATAGAACATTTTTTTAAATAGTGTCCTATAAAGTTGCTAATAAGACGCTTTATATTAAAAATGTTCTAAAAAACTTATTACGACGTCAAAAAACGTTATATAAACTTATTACAACGCATTTAGATAGGACACTTTATTTTTTGGTCCTATAAATTAAGTTTTATAAAAAGGTCTATTATGACGCTTAGAAATTGAAAGTCTCCTATAAACCCGATTTTGTTATAGTGTTTTTTTATATACTCAATAATATTTACCAAACATTCTTCTCTCCATAGGTATCAGTGGGACAAATAACTTAAATCATAAACCAAAATTTGAGAAATTACGTGAGACCAAGAGTTTTTCGTGAGACATGTAAGATCCAATTATGTTCATTGATCAACTTTATAAGTTAATAATCTAATGGTTTAAAGTTGCACGGTGACAATTTTGTGATTATTGAGAAGTCTCGTGGCGTTTATGAATGTTCAGATTGTCAGATTGTAGATTTAATCCAAGGGTTGAAAATTGGT